CTGGCGGCAGCACCACCACCACCACCACGGCCGCCGCCGCCGCCGCCGCCGCCGCCGCCGCCCCCGCCGCCGCCGCCACCGCCACCACCACCACCACCACCACCACCACCACAACTACTATTCTGAGTTTTGCTATCCTTGCCATTCTAAGTAGTATTGTTATCATGAATATTCTAACAACTCATGTTATGGGGTACGCTCTGAAGCAAAGGGTGAGGGGCTTGCCCACTTGAGGCTGGCTGCTGCTGGCATCAGTGCCAAGACCAAGATGATGCTGATGCCCGCAGCCCTGTCTCCCTATAGTCCCCCTTAAGTAGATAGAATATGGGGTATGTGGGGGTCTTATTACTCTACTATACCCAAAGCCATATTCTATTTACTAGAGGGGACAAAAGTCCTTTCCCGCAATGGCTGGTAATCAAGTGGTGTGAATATGGCCTGCCTGCTTCCTTTTTTGTGAGAACATGTAGTTTTGGCATCTGTGTGGTGCATCATTCTCAGCAACATGGCCCCACACGACACCAAAGAGCAGCTGCCGTAAAACAAAGAAACTCAGAGTATCATAGTCAGAGATCTGTTGTCTAGGCTAGCACCTGGGTACACGATGCCCGAAGCGCCTGCTGCGCCGGCAGCTACTGTGAGGAGCTTTGTGGCTGTCGCAGCGGCTGAGGTTGCTGTGAATTCATGACGTGCCATTTGAAACAACTGCAGTTCTAAGGTGGCGGAAGCGCCCAGTGGGCAGGCGGCTGAAGAAGAGGCAAAACGTGGGATTGTTTCCGTTGTCAGGCAAGAGCCTCTCAGTACGGGTGGTGCAGGCCCAAGACCCAATCGAGCTGGAGGGGACCATCCCAGGCAGAGAAGTCTTCAGAAGTTTTTGTGCTTTTGTGGACAATGGTCCTATGGTAGCTGTCTCAGCTATGAGGAGCACCAGATCAGGCAGAGGAGGCTGGGAAGCTGTGGCCAACTGCCTTGTTGATAAGGGATTGGATCCGAGGGTACGTTGCCGCCATTTGTGGCTAGCCGGAGTGAATGTACCACCTCTGAGCAAACCTTCGGCCCTAAGCAATAGGATCAGCCAATGACGAGATCCAGATGCGCTCGTGAGGCTAGCGAGGGCAGTCTCAGAGGAACCATCCCCACAGGTGAAGCCCGGATCGGTGCTTATCCGGCAGGGGTCAGCTGCTCAGATGTGTGAGTGCTCTCAACAGTATGGATCTTGTTTAAGGTTTTTGTAGTCATCCGGATCCTACCATGTAGTAAGCACTGAAAGGGGACGCCTGTCTTGGAAGATAAGCAGCTCTTTCGCATCATACATTGGTAGGCCTGTGCTGCTCACGCTGAGGTCCAATCGCTACCGAATTCGCGTGAACAAAGGTCTACACAAGGTAGGGTAGGGGTCATGGGAATATATTCTGTAGGGATAATGGGAAAGAAAATGGAAACTACTACAGTATAACAGGGTATATTTTGGGATTCTATGAGCTATGGTCTACACAAGGCAGGGCCTGGACTTGTGATTCATTTGCCTTTCTCAAGTTCTCACCATCAACATGTCGCAAGTTATGATTGTCAACCCAAATCTTAAACTTATTTCGGACAAGCCAAAGGCCTTTGCTACCTGGAGGGCTTTGGCAACGAATATTGAAGATGGCTGTTTTGGATGGATTGGTGTGGGCTGAGTAAAGCCCTGGGTGGTGTGGCTCCTACTACAGGAGCCTAGATTATTACAAATATCAGGTTGAGGTCTACGCCCTGAGCGCTAGACCCTACACGCTAATTACTAAACCCCCGAACCCCCGAAAACCTTAAATTCTAAAACCCTAAACCCTAAAACCCCTTCCCCCTAGACCTTGAACCGTAAAACCCTAATCCCTACACCCTAATTTGGATACCCAGCAGGTGACCTTTGGGGAGATCGCTGACTACCTTGCAGCACAAATGCTGCCGCCGGGAATACCCCCGTCGCATCCTCGGCCTCCCGTGCCGTGAAGCATGCCTTTAAAGGGGCTATAGGTATATATAGGGGTGTATAGGGCTATATAGGGTTTAGGGTTTAGGGATGAGGGTTTAGGGTTTAGGGTTTAGGCCTTCCCAAAATTAGGGGTACCTTAATCGGGGTACCCAGAATGAGGATTATAATGATTTGGGATCTATATTGGATTTCCTTTATTTCGGGAAACTACCATATAGGCTAAAGTCTAAATTCTTTTGAGGGGTTTATCTAGGGGATCATATAGGGTTGAGGTCAGGGTTTGTAGGGGATTACGTAAGGGAGCATGGCCAGGGTTATTAATGTGGCACCCTTTTTAATGATGGGGGGTCCCCCCCCGAACAATTACCATTCCTCTTTAATACGGCG